TCACGATTCTGCTGTATCGTTCTCAAATGGATGGTTTCTTGGTTCCATTGTGCTATCTGCTCTTGCTTTGACTACTTGGACTTCAGCGTGATTTTGCAATTTGGATTTCTATGCTTCATCCACATTCATGTTCCTTGCAATTTGGTATCAGAGCTGGTTCGATTCGCCGCTTACCTTGGTGCGCTGGCGTTATACAGACTTGGTGCATTGACGATGCTTCTTCGCAGTTGGTTCTTGTGACGTCAGGCCGATATTAGGCGCACGACCTGGGTAGAGAGGTGTGCGCCGGAAGGCTTACGGCTTGGGATGCCGTGGCGACGGCGGAATGTATGATTGGTGATGAGAGCATGGTGATGTGGCATTTGGCTGAGGTGGCACTGCATTGCGTTGTGGGTGGTACCGAGGCTACGACCGGTCATCAAATGCACACTCAGCTCAATTGGTGAGAAATCTGTGGTTGGGGGCAGCTATCTCCAGGTATGTTGTTCCCTTGCCTTATCTACCCTCTCAATCTCTTCTTACCACGAGGAAGTGAGTCCAACTTGAGAGTCCTCTCTTTTGGTGAGGTGTCGTGAGCGCTCTACCTTGAGAGACGACAATCTTTCCGGTGCCGCATCTGGAAGGAGAAAGGGCGGTGCCTCTGAAGGGACCTGGTCGAAGCACATGGGTCACGGTCACCATGCCAGCCCAATGGGATTAGTACACGCGTGCGATGGCTGCTTTGTCCATGAGGGCACTTTTGCTGCGCTGATAGAGGGGTGTGCGGACTGAACAGGCTTATGCAGACGCTCCCAGACCGTCTATAAACATTTCTGGATGGGGTTCCGATCTGTCAACTGGCTGTGATCGTCGTCCTGATTGCGACGTTAAATAATTCCTGAGCGACCTTGGGGGTAGTCCTTAAATAGGCCTCTTGATCAGCCAGATCAGTCGGAAGTACGGCTTGTTGCACGCGAGGATAAAGAAAGGGCAAGCCTGGTCATAAGCATGCACCTGGGGCACAGGGGTGGGCCGGCATTGCACACCTATGACACTGCTGCTCAATGATGCTCATCAGTATGTTGGATTGAGGGGAGGGTAGGTTCCAATTGGTGCTCAATTGTAAACACAACCATACCCACTGTTCATACATCTGCAACATAGTTTAGTTTTATTGTTGATTAGTTGGTTGACAGACTGCTAACACCTCACAGACAGTTTAGTTTAGGACTGTTGTATACTACCATAGCCAGTTCTATGCAAAACTTATGTAAGTGAACTAATCATGATATAACTAAATTATGTTTACGGTCTTTTGTGAATGTTGTAGGCTGCCACTTGATCGGTTAAGTAGGGGACCTGCCGGACACATTTATTTTTAGAAAATTAGGTGCCGGTCAGACACATGTTGTGGTAGGACTCCAACAGGGAGTTGTAGTGCAGATAGTGTTTGCCTAACTGATGAGTGGGTCAAACACCGAAGAGGGTAGAGTTGACGATGCGAGGCTGACACGTTCGAGATCACTAAGGGTCCCGCACGTGTTTCAGGCCCTACGGCCGGGGGATGAGAGACGGCTTCATGCCGAAGTTAGAGCCCGTGCTCTCGCAGCAGCCAGGGATACAACACTAGCTGCAAGTCGGGCGTTGGCAGCAGCAAACGCCGCAGCTAGGGAACAAGCTGCAGCAGTAGCCAGCGCAGCAGCAATGCAGCATCCTCTGCCGCATCCTCGTCTGGGACCCTGTTGGGAATGCCCTCAGGGCCCACGTGTACTTCCGGATCAGTAGGTTCTAGTAAGTCCACAAGTCAAATGGCGGGCTCGCAGTTCAGTCCGTTGACCCCACGTGGCAGGGAGCTATTAGAGCTCCAACAAGTCGAGAGGATCCGCACTCGGTTAGAGGGGGAACTGAAACAAGCTACCGATAGGGAAAAAGAGATCAAAAATAGAACAGCCAGGCTTGATACGTTAGAGGCAGACAAAGCTGCATTAGAGGGGTTAGATGAGTCAGCCATGTCTGACCAAATGAAAGTGTTGAAGGCCAGCGTACTATCGCTGCATGCGCACGTGGGCAGTAGGCTGGATTTCATGCAGAACTCCTTGGACCAAATCTTGGACATTTTGCAAAGGCCAGGATTACGGCCAGCAACACAGTCGCCGTTGCCGTTAACGGCGATGTCAGGCCCCTTTCCGGTACAAGCTGGCACACAGCCAAGTGGTACGTCTGCAGCAGTTGCACAGACTGTTGCTTCTTCTTCTTCTGGTCCAGTGGTGATAGCTACACAATCACCACAACAACCTATTCCACCATAGGGACAGCCGCAAGGTCAATGGTACCCAAAGACCCCAATGAAACCGCCCCTTGCCTTCTCCGGTGAGAAGACGAGGAACTCAACACTTGGTTGAGAACGGTTCCAATGTGGGTAAGGGCAAAGAGACGTTGCAGGAAGAGGAGGTGATTACTGCTGCATCTTACCTTGAGGGTAAGGCAGCCAAATGGCTGGATGGGATAGTAGCGAAGGCTCGAGTTCAGACGACGCATGGGAGACTGGGGTAAGACCCTCACTTTAGAAGTTTTCTTGGATATGGTAGAAGCTCACTGGCATAATCCACAGCCGGCACAAATTGCCACTGACGCGATGTTGAGACTGGACCAGCGAAAGTACAAGTCAGTCAGAGAGCTAACGTCTACCGTAGAGAACCTCATCGTCGTTCCCGGTATATGCTACGATGACCAGGTCTTATTGACCATGTTTCTGAGATGTCTGCCCGAGAATCTCAGGACCTTACTGGCCAGCGAGGCTCGCCTCGAGTATCATTCTTTTGAGACCTTCTCTAGAGGCCTTAGATTTAGAGGCTACTCTAGGAAGTGCTCAACCTACTCCAGGAGACGGAAGGAAGAAGAAGAGTCCATAGGAATGGAAGAAGAAGGGTAGTAGATTGATGATGGTTGAGTCCGATGAGACTCAAACTGAAATCGAAGAACTTACCGACCTGGTGGACGGTTCAGAGTACAACGACGAGGAAGGCGCTGAGGGTAGCACCCTCGCCGCAGTTGTAAGGACTAAGGCAGGTGGCCGAGGTAGGGGCCATCAAAAGAGTCAAGGGCAAACCGCCTCCAATCAGTCCAAAGTAGCAGATTGGGTAAAGGCAGGTCTTGATTAGGATGTGTGGCGGGACCGCCGAGTGCGTGGTGCTTGCATCAACTATGGTGAATACGGACACATCCAGTACAAGTGCAAGAACGCAAAGATACCCCCTAAGGGAGGGGTACCTTCTTCCCAAGCTTCCAGCTCGGGAAACATGTGAGGCCGGTGGAAGTTTTAGTTGCTTCTACTCATGGTGAGGTGGGCCAGATACCCTCCCCACTTCATGAGAAGGCCATAGCTAATGACTCTTTAGTCACCCTGCAGACTCATCTAGACCAAACTATGCTCTGTACGTTGGATGTGTCTGAAGCCTTAGAAGATTTGGAAAGTGAGTGGTAAAGCAAGGACCCTCGCGAATCTTGGGTGGCACTAAGTAGAGGTCCTACAAGGGAACATTTCGTTGTGGAAGTTGCTCTAGGAGGCCGCAAATGTGGTGCCTTCATAGCTCCACGCGGAATTACATAAGTCGCGACTATTTGGAAAGGCTGCACCTAAAGGACCGGGTACAACACCTTAGTAGACCGGTAGCATCTACTTTGGCCAATAAGGAGCACATGGTTGTCACAGACTATGTCAAGAATGTAGTCTGTACCTCTCCTATGGAGGAGGGGAACTTAATCACAAGATTTCGTTCCTAGTTAGCGACGACTTACAATTTGATATGCTGTTAGGAATGTACTACCTTGAGGT